TATCATACACAGATATGTTTGAGGATTGTTCAATGATTCGCGGCGCATCTATAGTCCGTCAAAATTTAAAATTATACCCAAATTAATATGATATGTACATAGTAGATATCGATTAACAACAATAAGGCAATCATTTCTTTCTGTAAGTTTTTATATGATTCTCTTTCTGTAACTAATTATGCTACAATGTGTTATCGTCAAGTATAAGTTTGAATCATTTCTCGTAGAGAATAATGAAATTTTATTCTAGAACTGCAATATTATTATTAACATTTATTTACTTTTACTTTATGATAGTAACTTACATGGATAGATTTTAACAATTCGTATACCGCCTAAGTGACCGTATCCCGCGAGATTTTGACTCCAGCCGTAGTTAATTAATCCGTATAATGCGTTAGAATCGTTATGAGTTATTCTTATTCCGCCAATTGTAACAGGAACAGATGCAGTAACATAAGTTTCGTTAACTGTATTTGTAAGGATTTGTCGCCAGGTAATATCTTGTAGTATTATTCCGTTTAGCATCAATCCGTTCTTATATTTGTCTTGTATAGTAATCAACGCATAATTTCGATCACTTCGTACATTTGTAAGAGCAGACGGCAAGAATATATTGTAATCTCGACTGTATTGTTCTATTGCTGGTACAAATGTCGTGAATGGATCGCTTTCAGTATTATCTGCTCGGCTTCCTTTCGCGAATTGAGTAACTAAGCATGGCTTATCGCATGTAACATACGAACTATTACCGCTGTTTAACTCAAATTCTACAAAATCTCCTCGAGACAGTTGATAATTTTGAGATGTTACTTTAACACTTACTGTCGTATTATCATGACCACCGAAAACACGATATACATCACCAGCTGTTCTATCAGCGAACGTCGATATAATATAGTTTTTACCAAGACGCGTAATAGGTAAATGAAATTCTTGTGCACTACTACATCTACCCGTACTACTAGGTATACGTGTACATTCATTACCAGCCAAAACTCCAACATCTTTATCGGAATAGATAATAGCGCCAGATATGTCTTTGTCCGTTTTTAAATGAAATCCTTGCGAAGATTGTAAAGTAATAGACAAATTTCTACTTCTTGAATAATATTGACCAGAATAGGAAGTACTCACTGGGAAACTGATATTAAGATGTGTGTCGGCGTACTTAGCGATTATTAATAGTTTGATGTTAGAGTATGGTTTATACGCAGCGACAACATAATTCTTATCGTATAGATGACTCGGTAAAACTAATGTTGAAGCCAATACAGAAGCATATATATAAAAACTACTAACTGTTATATCTTCATCTGAGACGATATGAAAGATTTTAGAAGTCAATTCAGAATTAAAAATAAGCATAGTACTTGCAATTGTTAGTGTTTTTGATTCATACGATGCAATAGTGTATTCATTAACCGTATTAAGAAACTTATTTGTAACATTGACAGCAGCTGGCTTATTATAACTTGTTAGGGTAAGATAATATGATTGCCTGGTATTCATTCTTGGATAACCCACAAAAAACTCTCGTCCCGAACTTTTCTCAACTTTCGAATCTAGTAAACATAATAACATACATATCTCAGTTAATTAATTACTACACAGTACATTGTAATCTTATCACCAGTACTATCTCTATTATATTTAAATTTAACAAACTTGTCGTTATAATATTACATAAATATTTATATAAACAATAATATACTCTATCGTAAAGACATTATCAGTTACACCATAGCTAAACAAGTGGATGTAATTAATTAAGTATTATATGTATTAATATAACTCTTTGTAATATTATAAACTATATACGCGATATACGAAACTAAAATACTACATGTCACCGTAAGAGCGACCGTGAAGAGTTAAGTAACCAAGTTTAGCGAGTTTAATATTTACATATAGTGATCACAATTACTCACAGTAGGAATCACTGACGTTACAATATGATGGCGTGTAATAGTTATTCTTATATAATAATTGTTTATGCTACAAGCTCTTGTAGTCGTAGTTCTAGCTAAAAGTAGATCGAAAGTGTACTGAAATAGTTCTGTGAATAGACATAATGTAGTCTGATTAGGTAAAAACAATTGATACATGTGTATGTCTATGAGTATTATTGTAAGATGATTTATCAATGTTAGCCGCTGTCGACGTGTATAACATATATAACATATATATAAGCCCGACAGATAGTTGAGTAAAATCAGCTCGCTAGCTTTATCTGATGTAAAGTTATAAGCTCATAAACTATTGTCTCTATTTGTACAAGTTAACCTTTGCGTTATCTTGTTACATAGCTGGCTTATGATACTGTAACACTGAGTTTCAATCTCGAAACTAAACTTTGTGTTTATGTAGTATTGATTTATATGCAGTATTATCAAGTACAAGGTATCAATTATAGTATTGTTTAGGAAATCATGTAAACCAGTTATCAGTTAAAGAAGTATCGTAACTATATTTATTATAGCTACTTTAAAATATCGTTTTTAACAATTATAATTTTTACTGTAACTAGAAATATCTAAACTATGTTTCTATGCATTATACAGTACTTACCGTAAACAGTCACAATTGCATCTTTACTTATAGCCGTTCCTTCTGTATTGCTATAACGACATCGGTAGAATCCTCTATCACGTACAGTTGCTTCTCTAATAGTGATACGACTATATATGTGAATGTTATCAATCGATGTAACATTATCGTAATTCGATATCGGATATCCGTTTTTGAGCCACGTAATGTTAGATATAGGATTACTTTTTCCATTACAATGTAAAATCAGAGTGTTACCATAGATAACGTCGGCGTTTTGTGGATGTTGCGTAATTACAGGATATACTATATTCAAATTAGATAGATAACAATAAATTATTTACACTATTCAATGTACAGTACGTAATAAGTTTATAGAGTACAATAAGAATATCGAGACTATACATAAATA